GGAGGGGGTGGTGATTGTAAATAAGTGTTTACTTAAAGGTAGACACTTCATAAGCAAAGTGTGGAGGAGGTTTTCTACTCTGTGCCAAAGCTGTCTTTATTATCATATCCATTAGCAGGTGGAGGGCGAGTATAGAAGGGGGGTATGTGTGGTGCGTGCGTTTAGGAGGAGGAGGAGGAGGAGGAGGAGGGGGGTCGCTATTATTGGATCCGGCCTCACCAGGTGAGCTGAGGAGCCGACATCCCCCCCTGCTCCTCTGGCCCTCCTGCCCTGCCTGGCGCTGCCAAGGTGACCTTCCACAGAGGCAGGAGAGGGAGGCGGATATTCAGGAAGGTGCTGACAGAAACATCTCTGGTTATGAACCAGCCGCGGTTTGCTTCGCTCCTCTGGAAAGGTGCGCTGCCAGCCGCGTCTCCCTCCCCGCAGCAGGAGCAGCTACCAGGGAAAACACCGAGGCCAAAAACATGTTATCCCAAGCACCGGATGTCTCTGGTCATAAGCTGGAGAGTGGAGAAAACACACCGCGCGCCCACAAAACATCCCTGAGCTCAACATCCCCGCTCTGAATAAGCCGTGCGTAATTTCCCCACAAACCAGTCGCCGCGGTGTTTACCTGTTACCCGCCTGCGTCTCTCTGAGCCAGGCTCTCTGTCACTGCCCGTGTGTGGCACACACTAGTACGCATGTCTCCAATCCCTGGCCCTCATATCCACACTCATACCTGCTGACAGGCCCCCCTTGTGCGCCATGACGCGCAGCGCGCTCACTGCAAGATTGCAGAGCGTCACCCAGCAGCCGCAGCCGTCGCCTCTAAACTAAATAAGGTTTACACGGCGCCAGGGGATGACTTTTTTTCTGTTACAGAACAATTTTAACGCTGTAAAGAAGTTTCTGAAATATTCCAAAGTAGCAAATAAATCTATAATTGCGTTATTTTACTTTTTCTCCGGATAACTTTTTAATTTGATTTATTTATTTATCCAGAAACAGCAGAAAATATGGTCATCTTTAAGATCCACTACCTTAATTTTAACGTGGAAATAATGTTGCATCAGTGCTTTCTTTTGTGCTTTTACTTTTTTGGGCTAAAACCTCTAAATCTGCTCTGTCGGCTCAAATAAAAATAACTCAGTTTATTTCAAAGATGACTTTTTGATATTGTAATTTAATTGTCCGTCCTTCCCAAAAGACGCCATGTGTCCTCTTTATTGAGTATGACAGAGAAATCCTTGTGATAGCAGATTTGTTTGGTGTGTGTGTGTGTGTGTGTGTGTGTGTGTGTGTGTGTGTGTGTGTGTGTATGAAGGTGGGGGGCACTTGAAGTTACTCACGTCACAGTAATTACGTCGGTATTCCTTATGGTCGTTTGGAAAGGGAGAGTATCGCATTCAGTTTGACGCGGGGGCCTCAGTCAGTCGGGCTCTGAAACTGGATCTCATGACTTCATCCCCCAACACGAGCCTCTGCAAACAGCATCGTGTGGCCCGGATGCTCCAAAACTTTAAAATCCAAATCTCACTATCTTTGGCGCAACAAAAAAATCGCCCAATTCATAAAGTTAGAAATATTTTCCCACCACAATCTCCTGTTGTTTCCCTCTCTCCACATGCATAAGGTCAATTTGAACGCTTAAAGCACGAGGGCGTATTGTTATAGATATGTTTAATCATCACAAGTTATATGACCACTGCAAGACGGATGCCCAAGAGCCTAAAGCTGTGCGCTTTAATTCAGAATCTCGTTTTTCAGACTTAATGGAACTAATAACATAACACTTAATCACGTTACTTTCACTCTCCTCTCTCCTTTGCATTTCTAATTTTTTATCTGCAGTGGCTTGGGGTTAAACAAATGAAACGAGCAGTTCCCCTCCTCCTCCTCCTCTTCTTCCTCTCCTCTCTGTGAAACCTCAGAGGAGAGCAGACCAAACGTTACTTAGCCTGAACGCAGAGAGGCTGCAGATAATGAGAGCCTGGTTGCATTAAATGGACAAACAGCAATCCGGCATCTCCTGACCCCTCGATGCTCCTCTCGGCTCCATTGATCATCCCCCCTTATGAGATAATGCAATTACAAACATCAATAAGGAGCTGCGAGGGGAATCATTATGTGGTGACAGTGATAAATGATGCTGCAGAAAATAGCGGGCTCCTCTCAAACAATCCGTGCGCCCAAGGGGCTTTTGAGGGCCGGGGCCCCGTCGCCAAGGAGACAGATGACATCCAAAATGGCCCCCGCTCAACAGTCCTCCTCTCTTCTCCTTCTCCCCACCAACAGATTTTTGTTTTTCTCTCCCTCCTTTCTTTCCTCCTCCTTTTGTTTCCAAACCAGCTGCCGCGCGACCTTTGAAGGTGGAGTTTTTGGGGGGTTTGGGAAGTTTGTCCTGTGAGGCGTTTGGGTGGCTTCTGTTTAATTCGTGTCTGTATTGATTTCATAAAGTAGCTCAGATATTGGCATGTCATCTCGGCCATGCGTGTATTTCCTGTGTAATGATTTCCGCTTTGGAGGCTGTAGGAAATCGATTGGTTGAGTATTGTTTGTGGCGCGCTCGTGCCAAATCTTGGACTATTTCTTGCTTTATTTTGTGGTTGTGAAGCGGCCTCGTTGAAGCCTGGAGAGGCCGGGGTGGTTCATCTACATAATCTGCACATTTTATGACGAACATTTAACACCTGGCTCTCTGGAGGGAAATAAAGGAAAATAAAAAATATGTAGCACTTCGATTTGTGCTCATGATTTAGTCATGTAAAATTAACGCATAACCTGCCATTTTAATTTGATTTAATTTTTAAAAAGCCAATAAACTCTGAAGTAAAACCTCCGGTGCTGCAGCTGTTGTGAAGCATTTTTGTTTTTTAGAAATAAAATATCCGCATGAATAAAAAAAGACAAAAATATTTGACGCAAAATGCTGCATGCTTTTTAAATTTAACAAGAAATAAAGATAAAATTCAAACAAAATTTCCACTCAGCACACAGTGAGAGAAACAAACAGGCCCCTGCGTTCAGCAGCCGGTGACAAAGCAGTGATTAGAATTAATAAGCCTCTACACATTACTGCCGCCGAGCTTTGTCATGGCTTGTAGTGTAACAGAGAACATGAGGCGCACGCTTACTTGTCCAAGTTCCCCGTTTCAACCATAAAGGCGCATAAATATCTGCGTTGTTGTGGGAGGAAGACAGGCCTGTCCGGGCACCTCCACTGCTCTGGAACACATTTCTGCTCCATTCATTACTCTGACAGTTCACTCCGCGGTCACTGTGTGTGGAAGACAGAGAGGGCTGGGTAGGCCTGCAATATCATCATTAACTTCAAGTTAAGTTCTGACTCTCAGCTTTTGAAATGAACACAAGTCAAACTTCATATAGGTCCGTGCATGAGGAGAAAAAAATGTGTAAAACTGTAGAAGACAAAAACAGAAGGCAATTTGCATTCATATCTCTGCAGAAATATATAGGTCAGCTGTGACAGAAATGTCCCTGAACATGCAAAAACACAATCATGATAAAGTTTTTACAGCTGATAAAATAGAAGACAAGTTGCACCAGTGCTCGTGATGAAAACTGTCTTTATATATTAATGCATGCATATAATAATTAATTAATAAACAAGGAGTTGACTCTGAAAAATGTTTATTAAAAAAAATGTTAAAACGTCACTGAAATAAAATGAATTAAATGAAATTATTTCAAGAATTTAATCAAATCAAATGCCTTTAAAAAAAATCTAGTAGGCATTAGTGACTTGCCTTTTATTTTTTAAAACAAATTTTACCGTCCTATAAAGAAAATTTCTGAAATAAAAAGGCAAGAAATTATTTCACCTGACTGGCATATTTTCCAAAAAAAATATTAAAGAAAAATCTGCATTTTATATTAAATATAAGACCGAACAATATGCAATAGTGCGTTTCTTTTGAATTTATCTTTGCAGTGCGCTCTTGTTGCTGCTGCACTCTCTTTGCATCTTGCTTTAGTGTTTCCACTTTTACTAAACTTCCACAAGCGTTTTTTGTGCGGTGCACGTCCGTGCGTAAAAGGAGAGCTGGTGCTGCATGTGCGCCATCTCCAAGCGCCTGTGCCCCGGACAGTTACCAGGCCTCCCTAAAGAGGGCAGTCAAGCATGGGCTTTCTGCTCTGTCTCCACAGCTCCCAGCGGCCACAGGCTCAGGAATTCACATTTCACAGCCTCGGATTTTCCAGCCATGGTGGAGAGGCGAAGCAATTAAAACGTCGCCTGGGTTTTTTAAGAGCGTCTTTTTTTCGCCCCGTTCTTCTTCTTCTTCTTTAGTGTAAATAGCATTCACTTCGGCAAAGGCAGTAAAAACACAATAGTTGCGCGGAGGAAAGATAGAGAGGGGGCATAGAGGAGTATTGATTTACACGCGCATATTGTTATGGATAAAACAGACTCTCTCTTGTTCGGGCTGAAAAAAAAAACCCAAGACACTGACTTTGGGATTCAGGGCTGCTCTCCGAAATGTATCAATTAGACAAAACTCGCTCGGCTCCTCTCGTCTCTTCTCCTCTGTCGGCTCTGCCTCTGCCTCCTGAAGTGCAGTGTTTCCCGGAGACAGCGTCGGCTGCAGAGCGCTGGGCTTCAAGCGGAGCCCTTTGACTGCGGGCAACAAGGCGTGAGGGAGAACTAATCTCCCCATTTACATGTTTGTAGCAATTTTACCTAAATGAATTTTAATGCTAAATGAAGGATAATTCGCTTTCTCGCTGAGACCCTCTCTCCTCGCTTCCCTTCTCCATGTGTGAGAAAATTACAGCAGAACGCATGCATTAACTGCACATTATCCACAGCAATGGGAGGAAGGTTGACTTGTGCATGTTTCTTTAAGTATAAATGGACCGCTGCTTTTTTTCCCCTCAATGGACATGAAAACATGTTTGTGCCTAGTTCACTTGCAGGGTTTTTCCTTAAATTATTTGTCATATATGTTCTTATATGTCATATCTACGTGTAGGAATATAATGTGACTAGTTATGAGTTCTGTTATTTGAACAAAAAGAATTTATTTACAACACAGATGTACATATATACCCTTCAAAGTAAAAGCATAAGAAACATGACTTGTCTTCAAAGGAATCTTAAAGATGTGCGTAATACATGTTTGAAGCAATGGATAATGGATGCATTGATAACCCACACAAGCACTTATGCGCACACACACACATGTTCGTCCTCACATATGTACTGCCACACACACACAAACACAAACACACAGTGACTTTTACATTCTCTCCTGTCTGTTGATCAGCATTACATCATTGGGTTAAATCAAAATGAATTGACTGTGGTATAAATGGTGTTTTCCCATAGCTTCTGCCTCTCCCTGTTATCAGGCTGCATCAAACATTGAGGGGGGGGGGAGAATCCATTGGCTAGGCAAGTGCACGGCCTTGTGACATAAAACACATCAATAGGACACTGGAATAGACGTTCAGAGGCCCTCAATCACAGACACACATGGAGCAAAACAGGAAACAGCATGTTTGCGGGACACACACTTGTAGTTTCCCACCCGCCGTGACTTTTTTAGATTGTTTGTGAGAATTAGCAGAGGTTCTGTCGCATGTTTGTTAGCTTGTCATGATGTTAGCCCCAACATAATGTATCTGTCCTCATGTGAACAGAGTGTAAAATGGATAAAATGATGAAATGGACAATGGCATTTGTATGTCCAAAACTGTTAGCTTCTCAGAAACTGTGTTTAGCTCTGTGTCGTTGTGTTTGGAGTAGATCCAATGAGTTATAAGAGTTTCACGACCCCCAAATGTGCAGAGAATTCTTTATACCAATAAGAGCTTTTCATGTAGAGGAGCATATAGTCAGCTGTTATGAAAATGTTTTCTAAAAATCATCCAAATTAGAGTGTACAGGGTGTAGATACAGCAACAGTAACACAAGTTAGTTGCTCCCTCCATGTACGTGGATGGGCTGTGTGCACTGTATGTTTAAAAAAAGAAAGGCCTTAGAGAAATGACAAACTGATCGAATTGTCCATTTATTCACTTTTTTTTTCTTTTAAAAATGCATTGTGATTCAATGGAGGGAGGAAGGGGGCAGGAGGTCAAATTTGATGGAGAGACGGCACACACATAGTGTGGAAAGAAATCAGAAAAAAAGAGAAAAAAGTTCACATCCTTTTTTTAAAAAATCTATTAGAAACAACATAATATGCAGAACAATACAATAGCATTTACAATACTTAAATTCCCAGTTCTTGTGAGAGTCCAGCGTAATTTTACAACAGTATACAGTATATTTTCTTTCTCCACTTGCTTCCCAAGCTAGGGGTTGATATAGTTATACTTTTAATTTCTTTTCTCTTGCTTTCCCTCCTTCCATGTTTCAATCCACTATATTTTTTAAAGGGCACCTCTTTTGCTTTGTTAGTGTCCTGTCAGATACAGACATTGGCTTCTCCTTGGTCCAATTCCATCGTCCCAAAGAGTGGAGTGCTCTTCACAGGAAGTCTCTTGTTTGCCAAAGAGTCTAGAATATATCACCAGGTGCTGCATTCACCGAAGGTACAGGCAAAGGACACAGTGTGTCTCTCTCGTGTGTCGTCTATGCTCGCAATCGCAATCACAATCACTTGTAATGGAGGAATCCATGAGAACCTAGTGGGCAGTGGCAAGGGGGGCGAAGTCTAGTGTCCACCAGAGAGGAAGCAGGGGTCTGTCGGGACAGGGAGGGGTCATCTGGGTAGGACATAGTTTGATCTTCTGTGCATCACCGTCGCTGGATACATAGATAAGGGTTGTAGGCAGTCATGGAGGGTTTCCATGTTGCAGATATCAGCCAAATAAAATGTCGTTGGGTCTTGGAGGTGGACAGAGGGGTTGCTGTTGGTTGTCTTCGTCAGGAATTCAAGGAGTCCCGTTCCCATGCTCTGTAGGCTTCTGTGAGACAGGTGATCCCCTGGATTGCCCTGCAGTTCTGAGGAAAGAGAAGATCAAAATGGTTAATCAATGGTCAGGCTTGCATCACGTAAATGAGAGTTTGCCTTTGGCCAACAGACTTTAGAGTCTGTGATGGCTGATCAGAGAGAGCATTCATTTTAAAGTTTCTACCCAGACAGTATCACTGACTGCGTTTACATGCTCCAAATATTCTTATTCCAAAAAGGTAATATTCCTACTAAACTAAATGAACATTCCACTAATATTCCTGTTTACTTGCAGCCATGCATACTCCAATTAACGTGCCCTAACATACTGTATCTCATTTTTCTTTACAGTTTAGTTTAAAGCTTTCAAGCAGTGGCGGACTTGTTGGACCGTGTGAACACAGCCTCCTTCTTCAATTCCTTCAGTCACCTTCTTCAGCAGACAAGTGTTGCCATATCTGCACAAATCCAAAAGCCTGGTGACATCCAAGTCTTTCATAATATTTAAAAGTAGGGTTCTCCTTCCAACTGGGAATATGGGCTTTTATTTTGGGCATGCATCTCTACCCAACTGGTCCAGCCACGGAGTCCAGATTTCTCCTTAGTCACTAGTTCAAGGTCCACAGAGTTGAATCAGTTCAGCATCATACTTGTGTTTGTCCATGTCATTGAGCTAGTCTGTTAAGTAGCTGCCTGCCCGCTTAGCCTGACGTGCACCTCCCCAGAAATGTAACTACACTTTGTAGCGATGCAGACCTCCTGTATATTTTTGTAAGCTGAAGCATTTTAGGTCTTGTGTGTGATTTATCTTGGCTTCATGTGAGCAGAGGAAGTCTCCGCTTGTCGCTAGGCTAATACAATGTAAAATGCCATAGGCTTGTGCTAATAATGTTAGCAGGTTGTATTTGTGGGGAAAATGTGTCCAGATAAAGACAAGTGTTTGTCTGTGAATGCTGTGAGTTATAGTGAAGCTGATTTGTGTTCTTGTGTTTGATATTGTCGCTATTAAGTCATGTTTAAAGTGTGAGTAGAATCAACTGAACTTCACAGCACTTCACAGAAACCTGCGCCGCTGACTAGTGTTTTGGAGGTGTAACTGCAGAGTGACTTAGACACACCACCACACAAGTGTAAATGCTCACAACGGCATCTGCGTCATGTGTACGCTACGGCTTAGGGTCTGCCGCACAACTATAAATCCCACTTGAACATGCAAGACGCCATGTGTCGCAAACTATGGGAAAACTCCCAGTTGAGATGCATATTCCGAATGCTTCCGATACTTCTAAAGCCTAAATAACAATGACATATCCCACATTTGTCAATCTGAAAAAGCAACATTTGGAGTAAGGTCTATTTCAGAATACCTAAAGGGAGTATGCTATTTATGTGACCTGTATCAAATTCAGAAAAATGTTTGAAATTAGAAATTGCACCTTATTCTGAATGTAGCATTTTCCGATTAAGACGTGGGATATGCCGGTCTTATTCTGTTTTTAGGAGCATTCCTTTAAGATGTATACAGGGCACTGGGAATATGCGTCTCAGTCAGGGTTTTCACCACAGTTTGCTACACATGACTTCTTACCTGTTTACATCCAGCTCTGTGAGTTCTGATTATGCATCCATGGTTGTAGCCTATACCAACCAACTCACCAACAGTTTGAAAGGCTGGGGTACATACATGCCCAAAAGAAAAGCACACAATTCTGGTCGGAAGGAGAAAAACACCTACTTTTAATCATTATAAAAAAGACTTGGATATCAACAGGGTTTTGGATATTCATACACATCATAGCCGCAGGATGTATGCATAGAAATAGCATGAAACATGATGTACTGTTGCTGCCTCTGAAGAACAAGTCAGAGCTGTTGCTTTTTATGAATAATTCCAAACTTCCCACAGACGTATTTCACCATAACTAACAACAATCACCTTTTTTGTAGTAGTCAAATTATCACGGCAAAAACTTCAATGTACTCTCTATTTATTCTATTTCTGTGGACATACGTCACGGGAGCATTTTACGTTAATCAAAAGATGCATGGCTGCCTGTAAACAGGGATATTATTTTAATATTTATTTACATTAGCCATGTAGACAGCTTACAGGACTATTGTGTGTTTTGGAATAAGGGCATAAACCAGAATAACTTGTGTACATAAACAGTTAGTTTTGTCCTCTATGGCAGTGGTTTCCAACTGGTCCATTCACAGGGTCCAGATTTCTCCTCAGTCATTAGTTCAAGGTCCACACAGTTTAGTATATCAAGTGTCATACTTGTGTTTGGCCATGTCGTTGAGCTAGTTTGCTGTCTCTGTCAAGTAGCTGTCTGTTATTCACTCACTCTACAGCAATAAACAACACTGCATAATTAGAGATGCGCACGATTAGACGTTTCAACTATTAAACATCCGCCCCCTTGCTAGTAAGCACCAGAAATATTAGTCAGTTAAATTAGTGTTTTATTCGTGTACAAGGCTGCTTAGCTGTCATGCAGCCTCCCGCCACTAGTGGGGGCTACAGAGCCGTCAGACAGCAGCCCCCCTCCCCACGGTAATGCTTGAGTAGTTTCAAAACAGCACAGTGGGAAATAGGAGAGATGTCCTCTTGTGAAACCAGCGTGGTTTGGCAGTACTTTGAGCTAGAAAATGAAAACAAGTTAGCATGTAGGCTGTGTCAGAAAAAAACTGGAGCAATGCGCAACCACATTCATTCCCAGCATTTGGATGTTAACCTGCATGGAACGACGACTGCTGCTGCTAGCGGTGCTAGCCACACATAGCCCAAATTGACATTGTTTACCCAGAGACGCTGTGATCCCGCCAGGTCTGAGAAGATAAGGCAAGACCTCGCAAGATATGCTTCCACTTAACTTTGTTGAAGGTAAAAGCTTCAGGAAGTTAATGCAATATGTTGAGCCTGAAAGTTCATGTTCACATTCATACCACACAGCACAAAGTGTCTCGTACTTCAGTGGCATTTAAAATCTGCCATGGTTGTTGAAGATTGTGATAAAGGGCTCTTAATGCACACAATATTTTTTGGGACAATGTTTTAAATGCTTAACAAAAAATTGTGTAATTAAAATTTTCGTTAAGATTTTAATTAAGACTAGTCTAAAAAAAGGAAAACACTCAGAAAAGAGTCAAAATTTAGCACACTTTATTGTTAAGTATTTGAAACATTGTCCCAAAAAAAATTGTGTGCATTAACCATATCTGATTTTAAATGCTGCTGAAGTACGAGACACTTTGCGTTGTATGAATGTGAACATGACGGCAACTCAGTCAAAAGTTAGCCTCTAAAATAACATCTAAAATGAATAAGTTGCCTCTCAAATGTGGGGCATATTGAACCTTGCAGATTATCCCCCACTAGTGGCGGGCAGCTGCATGACAGTTAAGCATGAATTAATAAAACAGGAATTGGTTTAGCCAATCATGTCATTAATCATTCATTAAATATGACAATAGATCACACCAGACTTCTGAAAGCAGACTCTCGTGTTACACTTTCAGGCCGATAGCACATGAACATGGCAGGACCTGCTGATAAGACCCTGTAGGAGCGGTATAGTATGTGGCAACTGCTGCAAACCCAACAAAGTGCTAATCTGGGTCAGAATACAGACCCGAGCCTGCCCTTCACTAAGACTGTGTGGATGTATGAGAGAGGGAGAGAGAGCATTGGAGGGTTTAGTGAGTTAATCCTACACCCTCAGTAATGCTACTTTAACAGTAGGAGAGGACTTAGAGACCAAACACACATGATCGACTTGAAGTGATACCGAGGCCCTGCGCTTAACATTTCCTGGATAATCTGTTTAACTGGACAACAAGGAAACTTAAAATTAGCCTTTGATTTATCTTTTGATTGATTACAGTCAGCGTCTGACTGCACAAGTTAAACTACTTCAGGTTAGTATTAATGTGAAATACAATTCAGTGTTGTTTTAAAGCTTTAATCACAAAATCTTAACATCACGTTACGTATCAACCGAAACCCCTTAAACTGATGTAGCCTGCCATTTGCCCTCAAACCACCTCATACAATGAAATATGAAGTAAAGAAATCCATCTTCACCCTCTTCTCTCCCTACATTCCTCTCTTTACAGCCAACAATAGCTGCCATCCATCTCCGCTGGTGGGAAGTCACCGCTGAGGAACCACGGCCATTGTTGTCAAAACCAAAGAGGAGAGGTGAGGCTCGCGGCCGCCCGTCACCTGAGAGCGCCCGGGGCCCGTCCACGCGTTTGCCACACACACACAAGAGGGCCACTACAGGTGACACAAAGGCAGGCGGGGAAAAGGACAATGAGGTGCAGCGGGAGGACAACAGAGGAGTGAACGTAAGGGCCCTCATTTGTTATTTCCCTCATCCATCAGTTTTCACCTGGGTTACTGAGGAGAATAGGTGCGGCTCGCGGAAGAGAAGGGTGAGCTATTATGTGAACTGTGCAGGCTTCAATTAGCTTCCTTTCAATGAGTGAGGTGGTAATGGTTACATATCTTTCTGCGCCTAATGGCATCAAACCCGTGACCTTTATATTGTGAAACATAACCTGTGGCAGGACACGCTGATCCATTAGCGATGCTAGCTTTAAAGGAATACGTCACCCACAAAAGGACCATTTATATATCAATTACTCACTGTGTGTTACCTTAAATTTTTTAAGGAAAACATTCTCTCTTTAATGCATTCCTCCACTGTGAACGGAGAATCAAAAAAAAAGGCAAACATTCTTCATGAATTGAAGTAATCAGGGTCCGCATTTAACAACAGTACCGACACGGTAATCGGTGAACAGCCGAGCGGCCGTGGTGGAAACAATGTGAAGATTACTCAAAAATGGCTCAGTTGACAGCAGCTACACTCGTTACTGTAAGTGACATTAAACCTTAGCAAGTAAGAAGCCAATAATTTATCAATACATGTAGACAATGATATTCAATATGCTCTGTCCACAGTCTCTCATCCACCGACACTAACGTTATGTCTTACACAACGACAGCACGCTTGTTCGGCTGATAGCGCATTGTTACTAATAAGCTCAAATGACAGCTGTCTGTATGTAGACTAACTTAGTTTGACACTTATCTTAAAATACTTTTAAACTTAGCTGCTGGCTGAGACAAACAGCCCCAACTCTCTACACCAGCACTAATGTTACCTGCACACAGTGAATCACAGGACAGGGCGACTGACTGATAAATACTAGGCTTCTCTCAGTATTGTGATGTCAGGAATATTATTTACACAGTGACTTTGCTGTTGTAAAAATTACGGTTGCTGCTCTAGAAACATCAATTTGTTTTATTTAAAATATTCAGTGATCCTGTTCTGAATTTATTCATTTAGAATTAATATTTTTCTGAAAAGCAATTATTTAGAAATGAAAAAGAACCGATAAGAGTACCGATCAAAGTAGTAGCATCGATAAAATCTTGACAATACCCATCCCTACTGAGCATACAACTGTATAGATGAGACTTAGGTTATACTGCACGAGTTTGTGACAGAAATGGATGTTTTGATATGGTTTTGCTGTTGTTAAATGCCAACCCTGATTGCTTCAACTCATGAATTAAAGTTAAACATTTTTGGATTCTCTGTTCACCATGGTAGTATGCAAGAAAAACAAAGTTTTCCTCCCAAATTTTGAGTAACACACGCTGACTAATTGATATACAAATGTTCAATTTGTGTGTGGAGTGTTCCTTTAATGCATCTCAGACCAGATTCATGCTTAAAGCAGCGATCCATTACATTTCCATACAACTGAATAAGTTGTATGGAAATGTAAATTTCTGAAAATTATTATGTTGTATGTTTCCTGCGGTTACAGAAAGAAAACTTCAGCAGCAAACCCACAGAGCACAAGTCACTCTTTGATTGACACGTGACTAAACACCACAGCTTTGACCATTTACGACAGAAAAGTTAAAACAGAACAATCACGAATCTGCTGGATTGCTACTTGAAGTTGCTGCTTGCATATGTGCCCCTGGTTAACGAAAGCATCCTGATGACTGGTGTAAATCCATGTCAAGTTTCTAATAAACGCTATGCGTGCTTGAAAGAGCACACATTGCTAATAAGGTTTTTCACTTAATAAGCCAATCAATACATTGAACTGGATGCCTCCTTTCTTAGACTCCGAGGGGGATTCCAGAGGGGCCAAATCAACAGGGACACACATTCACATGGACAATACGAGAGGGCACAAAATCCCCATCGGGACCTGTTTTTTCCCCAATGTTCGTTAATAGTAAAAGTTCATCCACCAGAAAGAGAAGTAGAGGGTGGGGGGGTGGGGGGAGGGATCTTGACCCCCCAGCAGAAGGTTAACAAATTTGTGCTTAATGATTGGAGCAATGAATCCTGGGACAAAGGGTCTCCAGCCGAGACTGGCAGCAAAGGGGTTACAGGCAGCGCTCACTCAAGCGTTCTGCCCGACATTTTGGGAAAAGCTGAGAGTGGGGAGGGCCAGAAAAAATTCCATACGCTCTGCGCCATAATTAATTCTTCCACCCTGTGATAACTATTGTCCTGAAACTGAAAATTACAGTTTTCAGGGGCCACCCCCGGCTAATTTCGTGGAAAAGGGAAAACAGGGGAGAGGAAGAAGGGAAAGGGGGTAAGGGTCATCCGAGAGTCATTCTCGTCGCTATCAAAGGCTCAGCTCGCTTCTGCTTCACTTGCTGGGCTTCATCTCGGCTGACAGGTGTATTGTTTCGCAAGGGGATATAAGCTCTGTAATCATCACTGGGTGGAAAGCATAACGCTCTTCACTAAGCAGGACTAATTGGCTTTAGTTTTAACTAATGTTTCAGTGTGACTGCTAGACACACCTTCTGTATCAAGGCTCAGCACTCCCCAGCACAATAACCGCTCAATTTAGCCCCGCGGTAACAAAACCTCAACTCTGCTAATGAAAATTGCTTATAAAATATAATGAACCTGTGCTCGCGTAATCAAATAAGATAACCGTTTCCCCCCCCTCCCGTAATAACCTATTAATTTAATTGGTCATGAAAGAATATAAGACATCACTTACATTTAATTGACCTAGAAAGGAAAGTAGCAATATTTGACGGAGGCAAGCTAGCAGCTAGCAACGGCTAGCTAATGAAGCTGTAAAAAACTGACTAGTCGTGAGGAAGAGTCGACATATTTCTGTCACCATCTCTCTCCCAGCTTCTATCTATTTCCCTCCCTCCTCCTCTTTCGTTCCTTCCTCCCTCCTTTTACTCCCTCTTCCCCCTCCCTCTTGTCGTTTACGCTTCTCTCGCTCGCCATCTCTTCATCCGCCCCTCCCTCTTTCTGTCTACCCCCTCTCCCTCTCTGTCTTTTTTCTTCCGCTGTCTACTCGTCCTCTCTGTGCTTTGCCCGTCTCGCAGAGGATTCCTCTGGTGGCCCAATTACGAGATTCAGCAGGCAAATTGAGGCTGTTTAAAGCAAGGTCTGCTGGGAAGGCTAGCAGCTGCTGGAAAGAGGCAGCTTGGACATGGCGAACCAGCCCTCATGTTTACACACTCACACACATAAACACAGACACACACACACGACTCATTCTGAAAGCACAGCCTTTCTATTACCATGTCTCCCTGCATTTCAAACCTGAAAGATGCCATTCGATGTGAGATTTTCTGTCTTTGCTTTGGTCGTGGACATTTGTGACAGAAACAAGGGCGGAATATTATCATCGCCGCACGCACGTGCACGCACGCGCATTCTGTGGAGGGTTAATGGTCTCTATTTTTGTAAACTGAATAAGTCAAATCCATTGGTCACACCTCTGGTGATGGCATATTTAATTTGGATCTAGTCAATTAGGCCCAGCTAAGCTCCATACCCTGCTGGCTACCTCCTCCATTTTGCACTAGTTTGTGTCCCCTCCCTGTGCCAGGAGTAATCCTATTACCATACACACACATGCACATACGTACACACACATACACAGTTAGACAGACATGCACATTTGTACGCGTGCACACACCCACACATGTGCAAATGCATGTATTTCACATATGAATGTTTGTATGTGAGATACATGCACCCACACAGGTATACACACAGGTTCACGAACACAGACACACACACTAAACAATGATTTTTCTCACAACAATTGGACCCGTAGCCACTTTCTACACACTGTGCACTGTGACAACACCAAGCCTGTATACATCCAGAATTATGTGGGAGTCTATTTGGCCCTGGGGCGAGAGGGAGGGAGGGAGGGAGGGAGAGGGGGGAGGAGAGGAGGTGAGAGAAAGAGAGAGAGGCAGAGAATTAAAGAGAAGAAGAAAAAAGGTGTTTGTGTGAAAGAGATAGGAGGAAAATTGACAGTGAGAAAAACCACAAAGAGGGAGTGAGACAGAGCGAGCATTAGAAAGGCAGAGAGAGTTTGGGGGGGGGGGGGGGGGGGGGGGGGGGGGGGGCTGGTTAGTGTGTGTATTAATGTGGCTCATGCATCAACAGCAACCCGGCAGATTTATGACACTTAAGGGGCGCTCACTTCTCTCCCTCTCCTTGCACCAGCGACGACTGCTTACATTTTTGCCAATCAGTCTGTTGCCATGGCAACGTCCTACCTACCTGCCCCCCCCCCAACTCCACCCCACCCTCCTAGTCCCCTACTCCACCCTATCTCATCCCCACCTCCCCTGTCCCAACCCGTCCCCGCCTTCTTTCCTTCTCATCACTCCTCTCCTCCTCTTTCCTCTCTGCCCCATTCACCTTCTTTCTCCTCCTATCTGTTTGGCACACACACACACACACACACTAAGAATACATGTTTCATAAAAATATACTTTTAACATTACACAATTGTTTGATTTTCAGTCATTTTAAATTTCATACTCAAACATTCAAAAAACAGTCATTGATTACCATCAATTATTGTTATTTGTGTATCGTATGCACCCACACATGTTCAAACTATGTAGTTTTATCTCTCCCCTCTGCCTTTCTTCCTCACTTTGCCTTGTTTTTTATCCTGACAACCTTCTCTTCTTTCCTCTCCTCCCTGATATGAAGGATGTTTCGTCCTGTAGCTATTGGATATGTGAGACAGCGAAACAGCTACACACACACTCACACACACATTACATACACAAAGAATTACAAGGTTGTGATCAAAGGCTCTTATCACTAGACCGAGGGTGGAACAGTTACAGAGAGAGTAACAGAGAAAAATCCGCCTGGGAAAAACTATTCAAACACATAAAAAAGTACAAAAGTATTCCCAAATATCAGTGTGGATTGTAGCCGTTTGCAAAAACAAGGACTTGTGCTAATTAAAACTCCCATAACTTAAATATTTTCATAATTATTTTGTGCAAAATAGAGATTCCATTTTTGAAACACGTTAAATCGCAATCCAAAAACAGATCCGCACCTACTGATCTGCTGTAAATTTGTCCATGAATATTGTTCTGTATATCTAACTCTGAGACCCCCATTCAGAATGTTGTAAACATGCCTCTACTGCGTTGAATTCAATAAATCTGTGTCCATGTGTACTTACATCCCCCTTTGTGTTGCGATTGGTCGGACTGGGGCGGGGCTACATATAGTGCCACTGACCTTCCATGCCCATGTTCATGCCCATTCCACCCATTGGTCCTGAGAAACACACAGGGAGTGAATTAAAACACAAAACCATTGTAAAAGATGTCAAAGCATTTTAAAGTGAAGTCACAGTTTATTTAAAGTGGTAACAGACAACTTTTTGTGGTATTACTGTTGGCGCCGCTGTCACGAAGACAACCGGATCGCCTTCCTCAGAGCCTAGCAACTACCAGCAACACAGGACATACAGCATTTTGTTTTCCCTGGTTACTTCAGTTGTTCGGCTTCTGGGTTGGTAACTGCAAAGACCTTACAGTGATACTCTTTGGTAGCTGGGAAAACAAAAGTGCTACCTCTTTCTGTTTTGGTTGCACAATGGTTTACGCACTTCCTTTCTGCCTTAAATTAAGCTTTCATTTTCCCGGGAGATTGTACCCAGTGGCAGACAGACTTGCAGAGTGAAAGCAAGTCTAAGTGATGATGGTGTCACTATCCTACAGCTGTTACATTTTGCAATTAATGTTTACTTCACAAATATAAGTTAAAGCATGTCTGTTTCCACTTTAAAGATACCACAAATGCTTATGCTTTCTTTAAGTTATTGCGACCGAGTGTAACCAGGAAAATGTTTGCAGACTGAAAGGGAAAACACTGAGGTAAATACCAGAGATGATTTTTCTATGAAACTAACTCGACAGACGACATAGCGGAGGAGCACGATGGCTTAAATCTGGCAGGGCAAGTTGTGGTGAAGAAAAAGGGTGGTGGTGGTTTGGGGGGGGGGGGGGGGGGGGGGGGGGGGGGGGGGGGGGGGGTAAGTAGCCTGACAGTTTATCCAAACCTGCTGACTTTGAGTGGAGGGTGAGATAGGGTTAGAGACTTGAGAGAATCCCAGAAAACAGGGGATAGAGGAGGAGGAGAGGAGCTTAAGGACAAACTCTGGGATTAGACCTGATGGCGTGAGAGAGAGGGACTGAGAGCAAGGGAGTGGGAGTGAGGAAGGAGATGGTTGTGTAATGTGATTGACCACACCTGTTCTGGTTTGTGTGTCGAAGGAGGGGGAGGCAGCAGAGTGTACAGTGTGTGTGTGTCGCTGTGTTTGAGGGTGCACATACTGCCCGGCTTACACTTAAACCACCACACAGCGACTGTATAGCTTCCACTAAGTGCTTGTGTGTGAGAAAAGACATGGAGTGTGCTGGTGGAATAAACCAGCAACATGGCAGACACTGTATGAAACACACAGAGTCGGGGAGCAAAGAGGGCGAGGAAAAGGAGGGCAAAGGCACGAAAATGAGCTGATGACAGCAAAGAAAGACAGGAGGAAGATGAGGAAAGAAAGGGACAGACACGCAGAGAGAAAGCCTTACCAGGTGGTCTGATTCCCATGTGCTGCTGGCCGTCCATGACGAAGCCCCCCATCGGCTGGCCATCTGGATTGTAGGGAGCTCCTTGACTTACTGTGGATGGAGAAGGAGACAGAGGGAGGGAGGGATAGAGGGATTGGAGGGAGGGGACGGAGTGGTCAATTAGTGCTTTTAATTAAGGCTCAGTGGCCGAAGCAGGATCATCTGTTGGCCGGTGCACGCACAGGGAGCCGCCGTTGCGTTTCAGCGTCATTCTGCTCCATGTCTGTCCAGCCGGCTCTGCACTGTAAGCCCCTGGTAGACTTTTAATGCGTCTAAATGCTCTAATGGGGATCGGACTGAGAGAGTTCCACACACACTACGGTTCACCAAGGTGAGATCTGAGCCATCTGGATGACATGACAACTGTTTACACAACGACTGATGGAAAGCCAATAAAACGTTTTTACAAGACTGAGTCCTGTGTTGATGAAATTATTTTTACTGTACTACTTAACAGTTTTTTCTTAAGGTTGTTATCATCATTTATTATATACACCACACATTAAACTCTATATGTTGTGTATCAGCTTGTTTCAGCTCTTCATTTGCTGAGTGAAATATTCAAACCCGAGACTTTTATGGTAACAAAGCATTTATGGTAACGATTCTTTTTCTGACCCAAAGAAGACAATCAAATTTGATACACACTGCGTCCATATTGGATTCTGGCTTTGAATAAAAGACCAAATTTGGATTGTACATCAGCTGAGATAAATAGAGCATGCCCTAAAACAATAAGGGCAAACACAGATATCATAATTGGCCTTGATGATCTATACACTTAAATGCTTTAACCTCAGCTACCACCCCGACATCCCCTTTTGTTTTGTTGTTTTTGTGTTTAGGTCATTGTGTTTGTCACTATATCCTGTACATGTTGTGCTTAAAAACACAATAAACCTTTAACTATGATGTCACGCTAACAACAGTCACTACCAGGTACACAACTGGCAATTTATTCCTATAGTGAAGTTTTGTCATTATCAGCTGTAACAGTAACATTTAAAGATATGTAATTAAACTCTTTGGTCCAATCTAGCTGATGTTTCTATGCCTGTTTTATTTACTTTGCTGAAATTATCACTGAAGCTAAGTAATGTACTGCTGTGGACGGGGCCGTAGCAAAACATCATAAAAAATCTGTATCAGTCTAAGTGTATACTATATTTGAATATTTAATGTGCTTTAAATTACACAGGAAACAATCAAGGCTGTGGTAGACCAGCAACTCCAGTGTTCTGCTGAGAAAAATTGCTGTTTTTGTCAATGGAGTCTGGTGAATTTGATATAATAAAGGCTGTCTGACAGCAAGGTGAAGCTGTGAAAATATTAAAAATACAGCATACACTTAAACTGATACTGATTTATTTTGGTGGGTCTTATTGTAGGTGGCTAAAAACTAACCAACTGAGGCAAGTTTGTCTAAAAGGGAAACTGTGGTGTCTTTGATCCTGATCTCTCTTTTCCCACATGGGGGTTTCGACCTAGAAGTTATTGTGAATAAACATTGTGATTCAGTCTATAAGTTTAAATCCAAATCATTGTTGCCATATAATGCAAAGGTTAAGAAACCAAACTCTTTCTATTTAGAAAATACTTATCATTAATTGTTATGAAAGAAAAGGACACTTCAGCACTTAACACTGATATGTTTATGACCTTTAACATTATTGCTGCTTCTATCAATGTCTGATTATACACATGATCAAAAGAGCAAAATGAGTTCCAGGCTGAAGCTGCCGAGCGGCCTCTGAATCTGCTCCTACCCTAAATGCTTTATCTAATAAATACTGCCTATAACTGAGCAGCGACGATAAGTGAAACCTGATAGGGTTCCTATTTTTTGCTCGCCTCCATTGTTCTGCTCTCATAGAAATCCACTTACCTTCGATTCAGGCTGTTTGGGGGTCAGTCAAGAAAAAGCAAGAACTCGGCCCCACTGAATGCCTTTGAACTTTACTGCGCCCCTAATGCCACCCTGACCTCTGACCCCTATTACAGGTAATAAAGTTTACGGCAGTCCAAACCAAGCCATGCACCAGGGGGACCACTCACTCCCCTCACTCCCTGAAACAGCCGCAAATAGGGTTGAGGGGGGGAGTTTAAAGGAGCGAGAGGGGGCGGGGGGGTAAAAACAGGTCTGGAGCCAAAAAGCCAAACAACGGTCACCCAAAAAAAGAAACGGGTGTAGGGTGTAGTTCTCTTTATGTTTTGGTTTGAGCCAGGGAGGAAGGGCTGGCTGGCCAAAGGGGGGAGGAAGGGTTAAGAGCAAACTTTACTGAGAACACGGCTAGTTTTGTTTACAGGCTAAGAAAATAAATCCACTCGTCGTTAACTCATTTTCAGCCAAATTATTATATTTTATCATTAATAAAGAGTTTCTCACCCCAAAGGACACATCAAAGGTGATTAATGGGTGCTGTTAATCTTGTAATGTTTTGGTTCTTAATTTTAGTGGTCAGTCACGACACTGAAGGGGGAAGCCCCTGGAGGTTTTGGACATTCCAGGATGGGGGGCATCAGTCCTGTATTTACCAGCTGAGAGGCCTCTGGGTGCATGGAGTGTGGACGGCTTTCGCCTGCGTGACTTGAATACAGTAACTATAGGAGACTTGCCTGCACGGTTTGACTGGTCAATCATGGGCTGGACTATTCTCCTCCTGGCGTTAATGAACCTGAGGAAGATAAGGAGAGGGATGGAAGGAGGGAGGAGGAAGGAAAAGGGAGAAAGAAACAGAAACACAGTCAGAGTATTTCTCAAAACAAGATCAGGCAAAAATTGCTGACTAAGACCTTGAAAATCTTGGCACACAGCACGAAAACAAAAACATTGCCAAACCAGTCTCTCTCGTTGCTAACCATAACAGCGATATGGAGAAATGATTCTCCCCTAAGCAACCCTGAGCCCCCACTAATGCCCCAAATAGAGTCACAGCAAAAGTCACATCTTAACAGCCTTACAAACCGACGCAGTTGTCTTTCAAAACGCAGAAGTCCACGACTTGTATAAACTTGCACAGCCTCAGCTTATACACATCGGCCTGAACACTGGGGTCTTTGTGGGGCGAGGCTTAACCGGGATTTTTTCCCTGCCTGTTTGAAACATGTCGACCCATCTCGCTTTGTTGGGGACGTTCCACCTCACAATGAGCTGAGATTGCTGACTGTTTAACACACTTGGCTTTGAGCGGCGGCGGTGTGGGAAGTGTTGCTGACAGAAACATGTCACGTTGCCACTGGTGAGAGGCATTGTTTTGGGTGATACCCTGTTAAGACAGGTGACCATGTGTTACTTTGTGACAGCAGGAGCTTTTTTTAGTCACCGTGTGTGTGTGTGTGTGTGTGTGTGTTTTCACAGGAGCAGGATTTGGTACACACAGGCTTGGACAAACCCCTTTACCCTGTGACCTCCAATAAAAGCACACGGTCGGACCATTTAATGTGCACACACACACACCGTTACTCAAATTTAAATCTCACTCATTCTCAACTGCACACACACTCACTCTTAATCTCTCTCCCACTCGTCTGTCCATTCACACACATTCACGCCCTCACACACACACACACACACACACACACACACACACACATATATAGGCAGCGTTCTGGCCTTGCTCAGCCTAACCCCTTGTGAAATGACCCTTTGACCTGTAATGACCCCAAGGAGAGAGGGCTCTTGGGGCTTCTGACTTGATTTATGTGTTCCTGCTGTTGCCCCACCGGACACTTCTATTTCATCTCTAAAAGGTGGAGCAATAGCCGAACTTTAGCGAAACAATAGTCGCGCAACACTTCTGAAGCTGGAAAAAAAAAAGGAGCATTTAAGAGGTCCAAAGAAAGGGAGAGGAGGAGGAGCAGAAACAAAAGGACACTAGCTGGTGCATCTGTTTGACCTCTAATAAGTGAATGGCTTTATATCTCTTTAATATTCCTTCTCTAACTGCTTTATGGGGCTCCACCCTTTTTGTCTGCCCGCTATCTATCCTGTATCACCTTCTACAGACAGAGCTGCGGGGTAATAAGGAGACACAGTGTCAGAGACAGATAGCGACAGAAAGGGAGAGTGATTTGCAGCCTAATTGTTCCCCTGCATTGTTTTTGTATAATTGCTCCGTTACATCTTGTAAGCTGCTTTAGAAAAATTGTTAATATTTGACAGGGATGCGGGAGGAGCTTTCTGTGTGAAATGATCTCAGAAAAAAACAAAAAGCGACAGGGATCTTATCAGCTTTTGAGCTCCATGCTTTGGCAGTTTTGTTGTCTATTGGTTACAATATGTGGAGGTGGAATCTGAGGGGAGAGACGGACAGAAAAAGCCAGGGAGGAATGCAAGAATGCACTGACATGGCAGAGCACCATCAAATGAGGGAACGTCTGGAGTTTTATCACCAACACCCCCTCCCTCCCTTCCTCCCTCGCTACCCTGTTTTGCTGGGGGAGATATGGAAGGAGGAGCGAGGGAGAGAGGGCAAGGAGGGTTGAGGAGGCCTGAGCATTCCTTCAACTCTCTTCTCCTCTCCTCTCTAGGCCCTTTATAGAAGGACGAGGTCATCTCGAGGCCAACGCTGGCTAACTGTTGACCTCTCCTTCTCTTCACCTCCTTCCTCTTGTCCCTCATTGCCATCTCCTCTCCCTCTGTTCTGTACTTCCACCCTTGCACTTCTTTTCCATTCTTCCTTATTTCTCTCCTGCATAACGTGGCTCCCTCTAACTCCCTCAAAAATTCACTGATGCAACAAAGGAGGCTGTTTTGGCAATAGGTGTGCACTTGTTAGGAAGTCAGGCATTTGTTCCTGGTACAATGGGGCCCAGGGAGGAATGTAATAGACTTGGAACTTGATGTGACCTCCCGGAAATATGGCACCAGTGCTTATTTACTCTGAGAATTAAAGAGACTATGTATCAATGAAGTAATAATCCTACTATCACCGCTGCTGCTACTAGACCTAGAAGTGCCGCTCCTAACAGAACAGTGACTCTGCCTCTCATACCTCCCCTTCTGTCCCCCTGTGTATCTGTTTCCTTCTCCTGCTCGCTCCCTCCTTATCATTCCTTCCCTGTATGGTGGAAACTGGCGGTCCACCTCCCAGCAACAAACCCACACTCTAACCCACCACACACCCCTCCTACTCGCAAAAACTCTCGCCGGTTTCCTGTCCCCGTCGTCCCCATATCTGAGGCCAGATGCACCATGGGGGCTGGAACAAAGGATAAAATGCCTCTCATAATAGCAGCCAGGGGAACAGAGCGATGGAGAGCGGGAGGAGTGAGAGAGTGGGAGAAAGAAAAAAAAGGCAAGGGGCTCTGGTCTGCAAACCAGACACTCTTGCTGTGACCGTTAATAAGCTGACAGAGAGAAAGACTGTGAGAGAGGGAGAGGTAGGGGTGAGGGAAAGAAAGGGGGGAATCAAGAGAGAGGAAATAAGACAGGGAAAAGACTCAGAGAGAGATAAAGAGTGATGGAGAGACAGAGAGGAGAGAGAGAGAAGAGAAAAGCGGAGCTCCTCTATTAGGGGGAGTGAGGCTTCACCTTTGCACGACCCCTGGGTGCTATAGGGCCAGTGTTTATGGCCTGTTCATTCCCCTGCCTCCCATCACAACACAATGAGCTGCACTATTCAGCTCCGCTCAGTGCAACAATAGCTGGGCTATTTTGGCGTGACACACCACTGGTGGTACGCCTAAAGTTGGGCAGAAAACACCAAAAGACAAGTGGAAGGAAGGAAAAAGACTTGAAATTAGATTTGGCCTTGTGTAGGTCAGAGAATCCAGCGTGGTGTGAAAACTGCTACGGGTTTGATTTCCACCGTGGGCACACATGCTTGACAGAAGCATGCACCCACGGTACACTGGATCAAACAACATGTCGGCCATGTGTTCCACCAGGACCAAAGGCTCTTAAAAGTCATATGAGGAAACTGGGTGAATTTTATTCTTTGTTGTTCTGCCTCCAATCCATTTCTCCTTGTGAGATTGCTAATGTCTGGATTAATCCTCCCACCCCTCTCCCTCCTTCCCTGGAAAGAGTGGAACTGATTGCGACGGCGTCTGCCAAGCCCTTGCTAATGTCCTATTCTCATTACACCCGAGACACACACACACATACACCGACACACTGAGCCGAGGCAGCCGCACACAGGTGTACACGAAGCACACGTGAAATGCCCAATTAAAAGCAAGAAATTGTCTTTTTCATCAGCTGCCTTTGTTGCGTGACCAATTAGGGGATAATTTAATAACGAGCAGTGGAAAGATGCAGATTGGATATACAAAAGGTTACTCTGCGAGCTCGTTGATTTAAATTCATGTGGAGTTCTCAATTTCTGTGGCACACATACTCACACACATATCTCCTGAGCCTACCACCAATATTATATTAGTAATATGAGACACACAGAAACACACAAATGTGCACATACACACGTGTGTATATATATACACGTCCTCTGCACTCACTACCAATATTACATTAGTAATCTGAGAGAATGTTCACACACATGCACAGGCCTGCACACACCTCACATTTATACACAGCTGGATATTCCAGCATCAGGACCCGGTGGTGGATTTCAGCGCACGCCGACAGAGGTTTACATGCATATTCAAATCTGAGAGCCGCTTAAAATAACTGTGTAACCACACACTCCTCCTGCCTGCCAATCAATGTGATTTAAAAGCACTAAAAAGAAAGCGAGCTCTGACGGGTAGAATCTTGTAGCTTATCATCAGGTTGTCACTGCGCGGCAAGCATCGATTGTCTGCTGCTCAACCACAATTAACGCCTAGCCCATATATCCTTCCTACTTACTGGTGAACACACACACACACATGCACACACACTCATGCAAACTAAAACACTGTTCTGTTGATTTATCTGAATTGTTTCTTTGGAAATAACTTCCTGACTAGTCATGTTTCTGTTTTTGTAATTTCCACACAAATTTCCTACACAGTATAATACTTAAAAACAAATAGATCACAGAATCAGTTGGTGTGTCCCCACGGAAACACAGTTACCAGCCATAAATCACAAGATAAGCCTTCATACAGCTTATATGAGATAACACACACACACTATACACCCCATTCTTATGTCACACCTCGTATCCCTGCACAACTTTATTATCAGCTGTCCCTGCGCATCTCCATCTTCCTAAGTAATTAGTTATTTTATTAGAGCTCACACGTTCTCTTATGCACAGCAGGGGGTGGCAGCGCGTTTGTGCGCATGTTCCTGCACACTGCATGTGTGCATATATGTACATGAGTGTACTGCATGTAGGTGTGTGAGGGAATTACAGTTATGAGTTTCTCCCCTTGTTCTCCTCAGTTGACGAGTTAACTCATAAATCACCTCCTTCTCCTTTCCTCCCCATGTATCTCCCTCCTTCCCTCCCTCCCTCGTTCCCTCTCTCCTCTCCTCCTCAGTGTCGTTCTCAGGTCAGATGCTTCAGATTAGTTTAAATAAACTAATGCAGCTGCTTGCAGAACTCTATTTGCATCAGACACACACACACAAATCCGCAAACGTCACTAGTTTTCCAACTGGCTTTTACTGTGTTGCACTGCATTTATAGTGTTTGTGTGGTTCGTATTTGGGCCAGTGCGGCTGCAACAACACTGAGGAGTGAGTTTATATTTACAGGTCTTTATCAGGGGAAATTATCTCTTA